TTGATGCAAGGGAGATGTGGGGTAAGGCTCTGAGAGGTCCTTTTATATGTGTGTATGTGTGTATATATATTTTAGATTGGGCTTCTGAGTGTACATTTCTTGGAATAGTAAAGAGCAGTTACAGATTCTTGAACATCCAAGTGACATATTAGAGAAGCTAAATCTGGTAGTAGTTTGAAAACAGCCACATACTCTGAGAGACAAAGGCAGGCAGAGTTGAAAGCAGAACTGAGAGCATGTGGAAAATTCTAAAGATGTATGAAGGTGATAGCTACTGAAATAGAGTATGACAGAGATGAACAAATCAGAGTATTACAACTTAGCTTTGTGCGGTAGTCATTCACTGTCGTTTCTCATAACTTGGAGCAGGTGACTTGCAGCACAGGGATGTTTTAGGAAAAGCTGTTCTCTTCAATTAGTGCCAAACATGCTCATAAGTAGGAAGGTGGTAATAAAAGCACATCTTTCCCTGTACTCTCTCTAAGGGCATACCTATTGGTCATCGTAAGGGTTGTAGAAAATGAGCAGATGCTCCACTTCTCTACTTTTCCCCCTGTACGCATATCTTATTTTATGTTTATTTTGTAAATATGTTATCTGAAAGCATTCTACCCTTTGCCCACCTACTTCATCTACTTTTAGATTTGCAGTGTAATTGGCATTTTTTTACTCTGGAATAACTGGTTTTTCCTAATTCCCTTTTTCTGTGCCCACTCACACTTAAATTTGTCCCTGCTCTCTAATATGTGTCACTATAGGCCAGATAGGAGGCTAAGAGAATGAAGCCAAAGAGGAAGATAATTAAAGCATTTTACTCTGTTTAATGTGTGTGGTGATTTGAAATAAGTGTAACAGAGACCAAGGTCCTGAGATTCTGTGAGTTAAGAGAGGAATCTCAACGTGAATGGTTGTGAGAGAAAATGGTATACCTGTGTTGTGTTCAAGAGACATGGTTTTGTTTATTACACGATTATAAGTGAAAAAGGAGAAAAGAGGATACAGAATTCAGTGACAAGGTGAGGTTAGACCTGGAACAGAAGGGAAAACTAAAACTCAAATTGATTTGGGAAATAATTGCCTGCTTTATAAAAATGAGTATTGCATTGATGGGAAAGATCTTTGTGTTTCTCATTCCATTCAGGTTAAAGGAGAAGACTTACTCCGTGTGGCCTTTCCTCCTGGATGACCAGCAGAAATACATGAATCCTCTCTACAGCTCCACACCTCAGATATGTGCAGTTTTGGAGCCAAATACAGTATCTTTCAATTTTAAGTAAGTTGGCATCATTGAGGAATGTACACTTTTTTTTCTCAAATACAGTTTACTGAAAAAAAATTCTTTTTTTTGTCATAAAGGTTTTGGAGAAACATGTACCATCAATTTGATAGAACGTTGCATCCGAGGCAGTCTGTATTTAATGTAATTATGAATATGAATGAGCAAAATAAGCAGTTAGAGAAAGATATTAAAGACTTAGAATCTGTAAGTATTCTGAAGTATCTAATGTAATATATTTAGAATCTTAAATCAATTTATTTCCTTACCTGTGTTCTTGTGTAAATTGGTGTATATACACATGGTTGCTTTAAAATACGATTTCCTCTACTATGAATAAATTAGTTTGAATTGCTTCCCCTGAATTTTAAAATACATTGAAATATTTAAAGTATACAGAAAAGTAGAGATAAAAACATAATAGCCACCACCTAGCTTTTTGGTATTTTAATTTTTATCATACTTATTTCAGATCTTTCACATTGAAAAAATAAAAAAGAATGTAATTTTTGTGTAAGGTATGAAAGTCAATAGGCAACAAAAATGCTCACGTTCCCTTCACTCATCTTAAAAAACCATCTGTTTTAAAAATGTATAAAGGTTGTCATATTGTAATACTTTTTTTTGCTCAACATTGTTTTGAAATTTATCCATGTTGATGCATGTAGCATTAACTCGTCTGTTTTATTAATAACAACTGTATAACATTCTCTTGTATGAATGTAACAGTCTCTCCATTCAGCTGCTGCTGAATGTTTAAATTCTTTTTAGCTTTGGATTTCCATGATAACAAATGATGTTGAATGACTCTTCATATGTTTGATAGGCATTTGATTTTTCCTTTTATGTGAATGGCCTGTCCAAACCTCTCCTCATTTTTCCGTTGGCATATTTGCCTTTTTCTTACTGATTTGTAAGCATTCTTGATACACCAGACACTAATTCTTTGTTGTTATATGCATCACAAACAGTTTTGCCCAATCTGTTCATGTCTTTTCCATTTTATTTATGGTATTGTTTGTATAGGTGTTTTGAATTTTAATGTTGTCAGATTGATCAGTCATAATGTTTTATGCCTTTTTTTTCTTTTTAAAGAAATCTTTTTCCACCTAAGACTTTCCTATAACCTTCATACATAACCAAGAAATATCCATGAGTACCTATTTTAAAAATCTTACGCAGTTGTTGTAACTCAGTAAGACGCTTGTGTGCCTCTCGGGCAGGAGTGTTCCTGAGTCCTCCTCGGAGAGGGAAGTAAGGCCTGCTTGAGTAAACTGTAGGAGATGTAAGAGGGGCGAGCCCAAGATACAGGTAACAGAAGATACCTAAAGATCAGTCCCACGGATTTGGAGAGCGCTGATACTCTGCACAGATTTTTAAATCTTACATTAAAAAATTCTGCTGTGTTCACTTAACAAACCAGTGTAGGAAACCATAGAAGCAAGCTCTTGAGGCAGTTCAGCCTGTAGGAACTGTAGGTAAATAAATGTGTGTGTGTTGTACAGTTGTGGTTTCAGGGCAGATGTCTCATATACATTTCTTTCATTATAAAATGTTTACTTTCTATACTTTCTAGGTAATATATGCTCTTTTCAGACCTAGTGATCTGCAGTTCAAGTATAATAACAACCATTTTTCATTGCAAAAGTTACAAACATTAGATTCTCAGCCATGTCTTATTTATCTGCACTAGATTTTATTAAATTTTTGAGATTTAATTTTGTATTCTATGTAAAGAGAACATTACAAAAACATGTTTTCTCCTTTCATCTAACATTGAACATGTAGCATGTGCAGTTAGTAATTTCTTTCAAATTTGGATTTGTTCTAGAAAATTAAGCAACGTAAGAATAAGCAAACAGATGGAGTTCTCACCAAGGAACTGTTACATCCAGCTCATCCTGAATCACCTACCCTCAATACTTCCTTGTGTTTTAAGGAGCAGGCTCTGCTGCCTGTGAATCATGCTCTTCGAACTATAGAGGGCAGCAACCCAGCAGATAATCGTTACAGTGAATATGCTGAAGAGTTTTCCAAACCAGAACCTGCTGTGGTCAGCTTGGAGTATGGTGTGGCAAGAATGACCTGTTAGACTCAGTATTTTCTGGATGGACTGTAGTTCAAGAAATGGGTTAATGTGGGAATGCTCTCAGCGTGTGACCAGGGAGAGTTTGTTTAATAATTATCTTAGAAGCTAATAGTTGAAGAAAGGATGATAATAACTGCTCTTGGGAGAGAGTAAGTCAGTGTAATTGCATTTTCAGTGAAGAATGATATACAGTTCTTTAAGAAATGAGTGGTAACAGCAAATTTACTCAAAACACGATTTGCTCTATATACTAGTGAATTGACATTTTGGTATGACGTACATGTTAATTACAGCCAAACATGAATGGCCTTCCCTAAATATAACTTAATTGCCAGAAAACAAAACTTGACGAAGTGGTCCCTTACTTAATAATTGACATGACATGTGCTTTTGATTATGTAACTATGAGTATTTACATATTTACCCTATTAGTGATGTTTAATGTTGAAGTGCCATGAAAAATATTTCTGAGAAAGCCTTAAAATCTCAGTATATTCTTTACTCTTAAGGTTTTTAGCCTAGAGTGAGACGTTTTGTTATTCCTTTGGTCAGCCTTGTTTTATTTGTAAAGAATTGTGCTGACAACATGGCTGGAGCTGCATGCGGCATCACTCCTGTAACACTGCTGATAGAAGTACGTGGTCGTTCATGCGCAGCTCGGTCCACTTCCATATTCAAAACGAATGAAACTGAAGGTTTTATTTGGGTTACAATTTGTTCAGTGCTATATTTGATGGCTTATTATTTATAACTTAGATTATTTGATTTCTTCATATATAAACACATTTGACTGTCTTTTATGTATGGATTATTACATTCTGTTGATTCTTATTTTTTGGTTGCTGTTATACCTTTGATAACTATGTAGGTGAAAGCTCTAAAACTATACTTGGAAACAATGAACAGTGCATATGTATGTTTTTTAACTTCAGTCTCTCAGTGAGTTTCTCTTCCTAGAAAAAACTTTGAGTTTACACAAAAATTGTGGGGTAAAAAATAAAGGGAAGCACAGAGTTTAGATTTTGCTTGGTTGCATGAATTTTAGAGCAGTCATTTCTTTGTGGAACATTTTTTTCTTCTCTTAACATAGGAAAAAAAGGAATATCAACAGTAACCTTGTACAAAGTTAATGTTTAACAAAAACAACCTCAATGCTAGGAAGAGTTTCATTTTGCCAAGTTATGTTAACCATTTACTCTATGTACTGTTACATATCTTTAAATGACAAAAGAGACAGAATCACTTGCAGTGGACACTGTCACCCAGATGACTTTAAAATTAAAGATTTAAGTAATGTGAGTGGTATGAGGTATGATTCAAGGGTACTAGGAAATCTGCGTAGGATCCTTAATGCTTCTCTTTATTATATTAGATTAGTTTGAATATAAGCAAATGTGTTTTTCAAAAGGAAAAGAAGCTTTATTATATGAGAGCTTATCTAATCCTATTTATTTTTTCAATGCTTTCCTGTAACGCATTATGTCATAAGACAAATACGCCTTTTTGAACAGTTAACAGAAATGCACTATAAAATATAGTTTGTCATTTAGCCAAGCCTATTTCCATGTTTAAGCACTGGGACAGGAAACTTGATCTTTGTGACCACAAATGGAAGCTTTTGTGCCTTGTCACTTGGTTCTGTATATTGACTGTGGTTTTAGAATCTTCCATGGCAGACTTCTTATATTCAGCTCTTTGGTTTATTATCTTAATCTTCACCTTGAGGCATATATATGGGTATTTATATGCTCACACATGGACTGAAAAATCAGTTAACATCCTAAGTGACCTATAGGGTGTATGTTGGCAAAAAGCAGAGTGGGTATATGTCTTATAAAATTGGATTTATGTTCTGCGTGTTTGGTAATGTACAGCATGTAAATTTTACATGTATTATTTAAAGGTCATTAAATGTTCATGTTTTACTTTGAATGTTTTTTCTCAAAAAGATGAGATCAAATTTTGGTTGGGTTTTTTCTCCCCCTCACCTAGGCAAATAGACCTGTGCATTACACTAATCATAACAGTATAAGGTTTGAGCAAGTTATTTTCAAAAGGTGATTGTTAATAAATAATCACTGTTACATAAATAATTCCCAAAATATTTAAAATAGGCATAATGGGCTAAAAGGCTTATTAGCAGTTATAGTTGATAGGGTCATTACATTTTCCTTTTGCTCTCATTACTTCCCAGAGTTATAATCAGTGTTGTATTGTGCCCTTACCAACTTGTTGATGGAAGGCAGTGTCCGATGAGTATGTACATGGATGGTGAAATGTCTCTGCAAAGGTAGATCTGGACGTAAACAGGAGGAAAATGACTTGCAGAGAAGAGTCTTACTTTCTTTGGGGGTCGAAGCTAGGCTAGAAGTAGCTCAGGGAATCTTGGCTAAATAAAGATGGAGGAAAGTCTTTGTGTCTTTGATTTTTAATTCTCTTTATATGGTAGGGGAGCAGGGCAGGAGGTTAGTATCTGGCTAGCCTTTTTTTTTTTTTAAGACTATTATTTAAGAACAATTTTAGGTTCACAGCAAAATTGAGAGGAAGGTCCAGAGGTTTTCCATATACTCACTGCCCCATAGCTTCCCCCGTTACCAGCATCCTCCACCGGAGTAGGACATCACCCAAAGTCCATAGCTTCCTTAGGGTAAATTCACTCTTGGTGTTATATATTCTGTGGATTGGACAAATGGGTAATGATTTACGGTATCGTACAGAGTATTTTTACTGCCCTAAAAATCCTCTGTGCTCTGCTTATTCATTGCTCCTTCCC